GACACCACAGTAAACACCAACACCAGCACAAGTACAATACGAGACATGATACACTCAATGGGGCCTGTTGTTTAAAAAGGTGATGGCTGAGGGGATCAGGCTCCTGCCAAAACGGGCCCTTCTACACCTGATTGCCCTGTATCTCAGTCCAGAGGGCAGGGGTATGCAGTAGTCCTGTAGTGGGTGAGTGGGGTCCCGTTCTATGGAGAGTAAAAAAAGGCTAATGGCCAATGGTATCTGGAAGTTCCTATGGAACTTCCAGATACATGCGGACCGAATGCGGTCCGAATGCGGACCGAATGCGGACCGAATGGTAATGGCAAACCAACCGCACATTGTGGTGGTGGAAAAAAAGCAGAGGAAAGCCATTGTGATTGAAATAGCAATACCAACTGACTGCAACATCAAGAAAAAGGAACATGAGAAACTAGAGAAATACCACAGGCTCAGAGAAGAGCAAACCTAAAGAGCGGTTACAGCAGATCCCTGGAAATATATCAGCCATTTCGGTCCAGAAGAGTGCAGGTCTAGGAACAGCAAAGATACTGCACTGAATGCTCAAGCTCCCAAGCATCTGGTAGAGGACAAGAGCTTGGAGGAAAAAATGGGGGAAGACTGCCTGCGATGGGTAAGGAAACTTTTTTTGCAAATCAAAAACCTCAAGAACCTTCATCAAAGCCTCTATTCCACCTTATCACACAATTCCTGAAAACTCAATCCCTGACAGTCATGTCAGTTGAACCATGCACAAAAGGTGCTGTCTCTCTCCTCAATAATGTTTTATTAAATGCACACAGTTGCTCATCTGGCACGTTAATGTGACAACTTCTGCCATGCATTTGTGCAAAAAGATAAGAAAATAACAGCCTCTCATGTCTTTTTGCAGGTCATGTCTTTTTCCTACTTCAATGAGATGTGAGCCTGGTTGGTAAGCATAGCCTTCTGTGACCATAGGCAAATTCTCTGGCCTAAGTTACAATTTCTGTCAAAATCTCTTGCCATGTCTTTTTGTTATTTAATACATATATTGTGTGCTATGTTCAATAATAAAACCTTATAGCACAGCTTATTTGGAGTAGCTTTTTTGTTATTGTTTAAGCTTAATCACCAGTGCCACAAGATGTTCATTTTAATATTAACACAGAAAATATAAAAATTATTTATTATATTGTAATGATGCCAACAACTTTGAGGTAGTGCCGCCAACAGGGTTTATTGAAAATACGAGCTGTTATTCCTGAGGCTCAAGCTCATGCCTCTAACAACACAACTGCAACACATATTGACTGCTTGATTGCCCGCCTCCTCAGACCTGTCACCACTTTCCCCCCACAAGACAAATCAGGCCTATCACATGAGAGGCCACATAACAATACACATAACCACTTAAATGGGTGGAGCTATATACCATAAAAGATTATGGAAAGAGTGAAAAATTTAAGGTGGTTCAGAGACGAGCACTCCACAGAACTTCATTTCTAGGCCCCTCTCCACGGAGTAAAACTGACTTGAGTACCATAATTATAATGTTCATCGCATTTTTTCTTGGAGTGTTGCTTCTTCCAAAAGGCAAGTGTTTGATTCTGTAAATCCTAGCTATCTATACATCTATTTTGCTTTAGCTGGTTTATTTTCATTTCCTTTTATTGTTTGGACCTGTTAAAAATAGCTGATCTAATTTCTGCTTTTCTTGCTACATTTTTTTTTATCTTTGCAACTGTTAACCTTCCCCATTTATAGTAGTGCTGTAATACGTAAACCTTATGTACCCTGGTCTAAAACTGCAATTTTAAAAAACTGTGAATATAGCAGCAATATGTGTGCAAATAAAAATCTACTTTTTCACTGGTTTAATAAGCT